AATATAGACAATGGATCGTGTCTCATATTATTTTTTATATTTTTATTATTCATTATTTTCACTTGACTCGCATAAATAATTTTGTTCGAAGAACATTTATATGCAGTTGTACTTCGCAGCACTTCACTTGCAATTTGCAATTTCTAGTTTTTAAAATGGTATTCTGACCATTACTCATTAAGGCTCATTTGATTAAAATTATTATTACATCTTTAATAAGTAATATTGGTGGTTTTTATATTATTTTTTTTAACTAGGCCTATAACCAAAAGTGTACCATATTGAATGTAGATACAGAAAGTAGGGCACAGGGGACTTGGCATGTGTAGAGAGTGAATCAGTAGGCCTACTGCTATTAAAAATTTATTACAATTCTTTTTGTGTTTTTCAAAGTGTAAACATACAAATGCATCATCTAACTAATAAAAATTCTATATTTTGATTAAAAGCAAATAACCCTGATGCTGAGAATTATAGCATGAATAGGCCTACGCATATGGTATTAAATTATCAATTTCCAGTCTTTTTCTAATATAAAACCTTCATGTACATCTGTTCATATTTTTATCATTCAAACATAATTTTTTATAAAAAATGAGTTGTAATGATTAAAAGATCTAAGTTCTTGACTCGGTGTCCAGCAGTCTCTAGTCAAGACTTTTTTATACTGTGTTTCACGAACATTTGTTATGTTATTATTATTATTAATATTGTTGTTGTTGTTGTTGTTGTTGTTGTTGTTGTTGTTGTTGTTGTTGTTGTTGTTGTTGTTGTTGTTGTTGTTGCTGTTGTTGTTAATAAATTAGTATCAAAAACAGAATTTATACACTTTAAAAAGAAAGACTGTATCAAAAACAAAATTGAATGTAGGGCAAAGTATTTGGCGTGCATAAACAGTAAATCAGTAGGCCTGCTACTATTGAAATTATATCACCAATGCTTATTGTATTTTTTAGTATGTAAACCTCAAATTCATCATGCTGTATAACTGATTAAAAAAAGATCAATATTATAATTTAGGCCATACAGTAGGCCTGGGGCTGATAGTTATGAATAGGCCGACGCTGTGGTATCAAATATTAACACTATTGATTACTAGAGTTTTTCTTTTCTAAAGCCTTTTTATAGGTTATTTCTCTGGAGCCTATGTTCTTCCATATTTTTATCATTGAAACATAATTTTTAGACATAAATTGAGTTGTATAGTTAATTAGTTAATGCATGTTCACAGTGGATAAATTTTAAATAGTGATGTGGCCAGGCTGTTTTTGTTTGTTATTTTATTTTAGCTTTAGTCTAGGTTAGGGTAGGATAGGAATATTTTCGGTGTTAATTACACTAAGGATGGCCCACTAAGACCGAAAACTTGCTTCCAGTGGGGTCCTCCTGGTGGTGATTGAGCAGTACACTGGGAGACAATCCCCTACTCTTTTTCGAAGGGTGTACTGCGTTCTTCAACGTGCACATGGGCCATTTTGCACACGACTATCATAACTTGTATTTCAGCCCTACAGCTGAAACACAATGAGAGCAGCGATGGGGATTAAACCGGGGAACTTGCATCTCCGCGGTTTGGCGCACACACAGTGGCTACCACCAGTTTAGCCGACTGAGCAAGGCTGCTCTCTCTAAAATTCATAAAGTGCATTATGTAGTTAAGCTAAGAATAATCTGCAATGTCATTACTTCAACCTAAACTAGGGCAGACTACTGGTGATGTTTAAACAGTAAATCAGTACGCCTACTAATGTTAAAATATATTACCAATACTTTTGTATTTTTCAGTATGTAAACATCATGCACATCATAATATTATAACTAATTAAAAAATCCATATTTTAATTAAAATCATATAAGCTCAAGGCTATATTTATGAATGGGCCTACGATATGGTATTAAATAATGATCTCCTTTTTTCAAAGCCTTTACATTTTTTTTTTGTATTTGTATTGTTAGTATGTTGTCCATATTTTGACTATTGTAACATAATATTTGACATAAATTTGATATCTAATGTTGATTCCGTATATAATAATAATAATAATAATAATAATAATAATAGTATACTTAATTTTTACACGAATAATACACTTGATTCACCCAATTGTGTTTTTTGTCAAGGCCATGCAAGGCCATGTGCAAAGTAACAAATTATAAGGAAAATAAATATGAAAGACAAAATGATAACCACATTAAACAAAAGGTAAAAAAAGGGGTAAATAATAATAATTGTTGCTAATTTGATATGCAACGTAGGACAGTGATTAAGTTCACTTATTGGCATATCCTTGGTGCTTATGCCTAAAGAAATGAAATGAAATTAAATGAAATGAAAAATGAAAGAATTATAATATAAGGATAAAAAATACTAACAGACAAAATTAATCCTCAGGTGATTAAATTTTTTCAGGGATAAAGGTATAAATCAAAAGTGAAAATTATGGAAGTAGACCTTTAAAAAGATGTATGTTATAGGAACACATTTCACATTTCGGTATAAGTCTCTGTGGCATATTGGCCAACTGCTAGCAGTGTATGTACAACAACCACTGATTTCTACTATAATAACTGGATTGCTCATTGGCTGGTTTTAGTGAGGTCACCGACGCTGTGTTGGTGGGTGCCTATTGACGTATCAGTTCAGACAAGTTTTTTTGGCATTCATTTAAATTATTGTTAAAATAAATAATTCTTGAAATACTTTTTAATTGTAAATTAAAAAATGCTTATTTTTAGAATCATCTATACCACTCGATGTGACTGTAAAATTGTGCAAGTGAAGTTATTTGCCTTGTTAGTGATCGACGTCACTATGACAATGTAAAGTGGTTAGATGATAAGAAAAAAAAATCATACGTTAAATTTAAATTTATTATTGAATAGTATTGCAAGAATCGTTATATATAACAATAATTTATTAAAAAAGAAACTTGGCACTCCAACATGTACAAGGATTGGCTGATGAGCAATCCAGCGATTATACCTGTAGTAGATTATACCATGAAAATTTATTCAGGTTGAAATTCAAACAGTTTGTAGTAGTACAAACACAGTGAATGAATGTTTGAAAAATCAAAATATGATATTGTACTTTAGAAAGGAAAATATTGATTGTGTTGGTTTTAACAAAAATAATCCGTATTTATTTGGGTTAACGCCCAAGGGCATTTTCTTGAGAGCGGTTTTTGATGGGGCTTTTTAACTAGAGGGAGGTTTTTTGTTTTTGTTTTTTGTTCTTTTATTGGTGTAAGGTGAAAAATTTTTAATACCATATATATTGATGATTTAGAATAAAAATAAAATTTTTTGGCAATTACCGCAATTACCGCCACAAAAAAGTGGAAATTTCAGAAAAAAAGTTTTTCTTTATTTTTATTACACCCTCCGCTGCCTTGAAATCTCCAAAGATGACCTTTAAAAAAATAAGTACGCGAAACAAGCATAAAAAAAAGTCTCGCCTAAAATAAATACATATATATACTGTCAGTGCTTTGTACCTGTAAAAAAAAAAGGCGCTTTATAAATGACCAGATTGTAGTACTCAAATAAAGGCCCCTTAATTTCACTGTAAATGTCCAACTAAAGCATATAATTACTGTCAACATGTGTTATTGCGTGATCATAAAGTGTTATTGATGCCGACATATTAAAAAAAATGCAATTCAACTAGAGTAGAATTAATAAAATGTGTGGAATGATGTTGCTTCTATTAAGATTTGTTTGTAGTCCTTTAAGGGGCGTATATTCCAGGAAAAAATAAATGCCTTGAGGAGTTTATTCGAGGAAGGCGTGGGTAGGAATGCTTTATTCAAAGTGGGGCGTTTATTTGAATAAATACGGATTATAGGTTCATGAATGATAACTTTAGGTTTTACCTGTTTCATAATATCAACCTAATACCTTCATGTAAGTCAATTTACAACTATCATCATTTATGCAATTTATTTAATTATAAAAATAAAATATTGATTTTAATTGCAGGTATCTTGAAACAAAGGTACAGCTGCAATTGTCATCACAAGATTTTGAAAATTCCCTCACTTGTCACATTCTGATGATTGACCACTTACCTAGTGGGGCCTTTGTGGATCTTGACCAATTAGAGAATAGATTAGAGTTTGGAGGACCTCAAGTAAGTGATCATTTTGCACTTTTGCATGAGCTATTTCATACTTTATTAATATTCACGCTTGCAGAAGCATGTGGCACAGCATATAAGGTGGTGAACTTTCAATTGGAAGGTAGGGGGTTTGAGAGTAATCTATTTGAATATGAGGTATCCCAATTTTTTATTTTTTTAAATTTTTATTAACAATTGTCTAACAGGAACTCTTCAAAAATATAATCGAAACTATAAAATCACAAAAATGTCTTCTTTAATTATCTTCTTTTCTATGAATGATGGTTCTTGATGGTTCTATACCCTCTCCAACCTACTAATATCTGAATTTTCATTAGGTGCCCACATACGACAACAATATTTGCCAAAGACAGGCCAAATTATAAATCCTGTTTCAGAGATTTTGGCCAAAACATGCTGGAATGTCAATTTTTTTGAAATTTAATTTAATGCACTAAACTGACCTTTATATTTATACATCATGCTATCCTGTAATTTTCTCAATTTCCAGTGTTAAAACAATTTTGAATGATTTGGTGATGGTTTCTGCCTGAGAAATGCCCAAATTCATAAACTTTGAAGGCTGATTTCTCAACCTAATTGTGCTATTATTTTGTGTGTGCTGTTCACCCTTTGTGGTCTTTTGTACTAACCTCTGTATTTATTTTTGTATTTATATTTATATTCATTACGTGTATAAGCATCAGGGAAAAGAATTTTACTTGTGACAATAAAAGTATCTTGTATGTTTAATCTTGTATCTTGTATGTTTAAACGCTTAAGCAATTAATGTCCGATTAAATGATTGTTTGACTGTTGAAAGCCGTATTAATAACCAAAAATCGATTTTTGCAACGAGTGACTGGTTTGGCTTGTCTTTGCCTCATACGTTATGACTGGTGGTAGAATAAGTAAGATTTCCTAATATTAAAATTTAAAAAAAAATAAATGTATATTATACCACTTTTCACTGGTAGCTTTCTGGTCTACTATAACTTCTAAATTTTACAAACAGTGTTTTCGGCTTTTGATGTTTTTGATACTTACACACACTTACATGGACACACACACCAGCGGTGGTGCAAGAAATTTGCCGACAACAGGTCCGACATGTCCGACGGAAGGGGTCCAACTCAAGGGGCGATGAAGTCTTGGTCGACGGCCTGGAATAAAAACTCCCTTGTATGGAGAGTTTTTATGGCTTAGTTTGGTCCAAAATGTGCTTTTAGACCACAAAATTAAGGATTGGCACTCAAAATAATGTTATTTACTCTACTATAGGCAAATTGTTTTATTATTTTTGATCCGACGACCTAGTCGTCCGTCAGATGACAGGGAGGTCCAGGCCTGTCCGATGGGGGACAATTTTCCCCTGCCCCTACTGGCGCCAGCATTAACACATGCTAACTATCTAACTATATGGTACATACATGCGGTTAAGTTGGTTATTTACATATTTGCCTTTAGCCCAAAGCCTTTTCCAAACCATTACAATTTATTTAGAATGAAAAAATGTTACAGTGTAAAAACTGTACAGATATGCCCATATAGTCATGATGGACATGTTTATATTGAGGGCATGTCACATGTTATTGTCAAACAAAATGTGATAGTCTAGACAAGGCTTAATAAAAAAAAAAAAAAATAGCATTGTAAAACCAAAGTCAAAATACCACCTGTTGATATCCCATTATTTTCTTGCTCTGAACTTCTCAGTTTATTATTTTTTTAAACAAAAGCTTGTCCTTCTTCTCTGGGTATTTGTAAATTGTGTAGGTGTACTTATTTAGCAGGAAATTGTACAACATTTGACATTTATTCTACTTCTGTTATTGGTATACACTCATTCAAACTCATTTTATTGTCTCTACATTTGAGAATTTGTAGAATATTTAAAAATCTTCAATAATAATATAATTATTATATAATATGTATGTTTATTAAATATTTCATTTCACATGATGGTCTGTGGAAAAACCCAACATTTGTCGCAATTTATAATTTCCCACAAACACCTAAATTGTGTGAGAATCAGAATTTTGAACGTTTTCAGTTTTTTTTGGATTTTGTAAGATGCATTGAAGAACATTCTGCAAAATATCAATCACTAAATCTAACTGAAAAGTTTATTAAACTTATTTTAAAAATACAAATCTTAATAATAAACTATTGATTTTGGAATCTTAGGAAGCTGTTTTCTCAAAACCTACACGACTGATATTCAATGAATTGAATATTCATAACTTCGCTAATATTCAACCAATTTTCATCAAATAAACATTGTTTTAAAGAAGAATTCCTCCAGAATTTAATAACACTCAATTTGGAATTTTTCCTACAAATGACTGGTTTTGCTAGAGCCAGTTACATATTTTTTTTGTTGAATTTGAATGAAATCGACTAGTATATAAAGTATAGACTGCATCACAAAAGATTTATCTTTTCAATTAAGTAAAGCAACGCTGTGTCAATATTTATTTGTCATGCACAGTTTTAGAAGAGCATCATTGCTATTGTTGACCCCTTTTTGTCTTTTTTTATTGCATCAATTTGATTAAGCTGACAAAACTGTTTTGTCTTCGCTTTGTAGCTAAAAATAATTTTAATATTTATACAGCATTTAAAATACTGTCACAGTTTTGAAACTGCACTGTCCTATTTATTAATGTTGGATTTTCGATTTGATATGTCTTTAATACTACCAGTATTTTGTGTTTATCATAATTTGATAGCTGTTTTTGATTTAATTTTTAATTTGTATTAATATACAGTAATCCTGTAATTATTAGTAGTTGTGATCGATTGTAGTTTAGTAGAATAACACAAATTGGTTTTGTTTATATAAGATTTTATTAATAAACCAACCCTTTATTATGATAATTCTTTTTTTGATATACATTATTCTAAAGGAAAATCCTCTTAATCTAAACACATAGTACGTGACTGTGTTGGAATCCAGTATCAACTTTGCACATTTATTTCAAGTTAATGCAATATTATGTTTGTCTATGCTTTAAGAATGTATTGATTGTTTAACCCTTTTCCCTTTTTGTCATTCTTTAAATCATTTTTTCATTCCTTAAGCAAGAATTTTTTTGCACCTTGTTTAGTGAACCCACCACCTACCAATAATGATAATTTATAAATAAAAATTAAGTTTTGTTTTTAGCCAATTGGCGCAGTTACTTTAACCATTTCTTCCTTTATTCTTCAATTGTTGTTTAATTCATTCATTCATTCTGTAATTAGTCCATAGAGTTATTTACCAAGGTGGTGAATTGGGCAGTACTCTGGGCAGGCATCCCCAAACGTATCAAAGTCACCATGACAAATGTCTGAGGCCGCTGGCTCTTTGTTTTTAATTTATCCTATTGTTTAATATTTCTGTACGGGGTGGTGCCACATTTACGGGGTGTATTTTCGAGGACTTGGTAACACAAGTGTGGGAATAATATCATTAATATATCAGTACTTATTTATTATTATTATTATTATTATTATTATTATTATTATTATTGTTATTATTATTATTATTATGTTACTAAAACCTACCTTAATGGGAACTTAGACAATGGAGAAATTAGAGAACAATTTAAAAAAAAATGATTTTAAGGGGAAAGTAACACAAAAGATATTTCCCATAGTCTGATTTAGAGAAATTATTATTAATATCATTATTATTTATTTGATAATATGTCTATTTTCATTTATTTTTATACTCATTCTTTAAAAACTACCTCTCATTTTTTTGAAATGGCAACATGGTTCTTAGTTTACAAAGATAAAATAATACGGGAAAAATATAGTAATATTAGCCATACACCTATCAAACAATGAGTGTAGTACATAGGATAATAATAATATGATATACAGCTCTTAATTCACAGTCAGATGGTTATACTTTCATGTTTTCCTCACTGGAACTCGTCACGCATGTGATGAATTTTTTGAATAATGTATAAATTTTACATTATATGGTGATTAAGGCGAGTTAAAAACACTTTATAGATTATCAGTAATCACTTGTAGCATCTAAACGGCTCATTTTAGTGTTGATCCTATTTTTAAATTATATTACAAAAATTGCATGAATTTCTGAAATGACTTCATCAGCGTTTGTAGATGCCATTACAAAGATATGTTATAGGCTTACATTTTAGTGTAAGCGGACCCCCAGGTTTTAGTGTTAGATTGCTTCCTTTTAAGCAAGACTCTTTTATAACTCCCAATAATGGTGATTTTGAATAAAAATGAAATTTTATTTTTGGCTAGTTAGCATTTAAAACAAATATTTAATTTATATTAATTTTTATTATGCCCTCCACTACCCTAAAATCTCCAAAACTAAGATATCTTCCTTAATTATATTAATTTAAAGCATTTATCAATCTCATTACTACACTGTTTAATTCATTAATAATATTTTATTTTCAATTTGTTCTCTGTCTAGGTGCTTTTGGCAAAACAATTTTTCTAAATGAAAGAACAAAATTTTTATATATTTTTTCCATTCTTCTCTGGCAATCTTTAAAAATATAACTTCATGAAACAAGGTATAAAAAAAAGTTGCCTATATATGTGGTAATCTTTTTGTCCATGGCTTTAACACAGTATCATATAATAATTGTTACCCATACCTGAAAAACCTTGAATAAGTGTATTAACGTAAATAATAAAAATTTTACTTTACAAAAACTATTTTAACCTACAAATAATTTTATTCAGTGTGTGTGTATCTCTACCCAACAACTTATCGCATTGAGTGGAAGTCAAGTCACATACAGGTTTATCAAAAAGTTATAAGGCAGCCAAAAAAAAAAAAAGCTTAACCGGTTTCATGGAAAGATTTTATTTTATGTTTAAACAATAACAACTAACTCTATGTATTAATATAATAATCAAAATTATACTTTACAAAAACTATTATATACTACAAATCATTTTTTCGATGTGTAGTTCTTCCCAACAATTTACCGCGTTGAGTGAAAGTCAAGTCCCTGTTGGATGATGCCTCAAGTAACGCATAGTTCCGCAGAAACTTCAGACTACGGCCATTAACAATAAAAATAGATTTCAGCTTTATAGTTAGCTATCATTATGAGTTATTCGCATCTCAATTCTTGTTCATACATAACCAACGATGACGAGGATATTAATGATTTGAATTGCCTAATTCCATTGCCCCTGTGCATTTTCCTCTAATGTAATGAGTTAGATTAAATGAAGTAAATGAGCCAAAGTTAATTCCAATTATGACAAATAATTACGTTCGTTTTACCGTGGGTTTTTTCCTTTTCTTGCAAGGTAAGGTGAATTGCTGAATTAAATTGCACTGTTACTTGAACTTCCAAAAACAGTAATGATACTTTTAAAGTGGAACAGCTTCTTAGGTCATTAGTATCAGTTACAGCCAATTCACTTCGTACTCAAACATTGTTCTAATAAAACTTGTTATATATACCAGCTCTGGCAAAACTCGTCGTTTGTCGCAATTTTGAATTTCGCACTAGCACCCAAAACATGTGAGAATCAGAATTTTGAACATTTTCCAATTTTTGCATTTTATGGAAGAAGATATATTGAAGAACATTTTTTAAAAAAATACCAATCACTAAATCTAAATCTAATATTATTTTGAAAATAGAATCTAGAAAATATAATTCACTATTAATTTGTAAAATTTAAGTTATTCAGTTAAGTAAACTACCCAAGTTAGAAAAAGAACATGTTTTCCTCAACATTTAACATGCATTATTACCACTTCTGTATTCATTCAAAGAAACTGTTAAAATACTTTAATATTCTATGTGCTTGGTGGTTGAATATGCAAATTAGATGTTATAATTATATTATGTGTTGTTTTTGTAGTAATAATATTTTTTTTTGTTTAAAATTGAATTGGAGTTTAGGCTTGATTCTAGAATCCTACAGTGTACATTCTAAATAAATGAAAATTACCAAATAAATGAAAATTACCGAATTAATCCTTACAATTGGAAGAAACTGATTCCAAATCCTCATAAAAAATGTTATTTTTTTATCTTATAGGTTTTGGCTTTGGAACACATTGATGTTGAGAAACCACAGTATTTGTCAAGCGGCCATTCTATTTTAAGTTTTCAAACTAAGGTGTTCCCGCCAACGTCTTCTAATTTTAATATAGAAACAGCTTTTCCAATTCATCTTCGGTACCACCGACCATCAAATCATCCGACGGTGAATTTCGCTAATGTTACCATCCATCCTCCCGACATGATGGTTCGATGCGATTCAGGTAAATCTGAAATTTCTAACTTAATTACATAACGCTGGTGGGTGATTTCTATAGATACCGTTGGATCAACTTTCCACATTGGACATTAAAAATAAATCTACCAACATCGGTGAAGGTGATTAAGATGATAATAGCATTTCTCTACTATGGAAATGAAAATATAAGAATCTGAACTAGATTATACCAACCTCTCTTAAAGTTTTCAGCTGGGAGAGATTTTCCCAATTTCCTTAATGTACTCGGGGATAACACTAAAATCATTATCATGTTAATGAAACATTACATACTATCGGCTTTGTAGGGCTATCTATAACAACGTAATGATAATGGTTATTTGTATTGCACTGGTTATGACGAACACCTTTAAGGCATTCAGAACATATAAATAGATAATCAATGATACGTACACAATACCGCAACATGAAATGTCTTTACATTACAAATGCTATCTGTTTGCCAATTGTGAACTCTATGTTAGATTAAACAAAGCATAGTTTGGAAAACAAGGTTTTCTTTTTTATGAAATAATTACACATAATCAGAAATATTAGAGTACCAATTTCCGAAATATTGAAGTAGTGATTAGAGGCACTAACGGAAAGGAACAAATCAGAGTTTACCTTGCATTTTAAAGTGTTTTGATTGAGTAGCTTTTCAATAATTTTGTACATTTTGTATAATTAATAATAATGATACGATAATTTACCTTATATTTATTTATTTATTCTTTCTTTTTACTGTAGGCACTTTCAGTATTATTGCACTGATTTTCAAAGTGGTACAGTTTAAACATAACAAAAATATATACAATAAGAATTAAAATATCATACATTAAAATAGAATTTTATACACAAAAATATAATATTTTGTCATAGCAAGCCAGACACACCCTATTTGTTAAATAAGGAAGTTTATTTTTATTATTTCAAGTTTTAAAAAAAAGGAATTAACCAAAAAATTATGATTATAATTTTTTTTTTCTATTTTGTTCTTAAATCTCACCTCATGAAAAGACAAGGTTGTTTTCCATATCAAAAATTGTCATTTTACCTTCATAGTCACTTGTCTGCCCTAGGAAAATTTTCCCCTTTCCAGATAGTTATTTGACATTATTAATATCCACATCTTTCTAAACACATCTTATTGTATTTTGCTATGCATGCATTTGGGGCCATTTTTACTGAAGCCATTTTTTGCAGGGCCATTGTTTCCGGGCCATCGTTTCAAGGGTCTTTTTTTCCTACAACTGTTGTCGATTGCCAAATTTGTGACCATCCATTCTTAATCTGATAGTTTGGCTAGTTTCCCCTATGTAAATAATACTAGGGCACTTACATAATGTAATTTAATATAATGTCATTTGTTTAAGTATACATCTCTCCATCTTCTTACGATCATCTTCATAACCCTATTTATTTTTCCAGAGATTTGACCATTAATATTCACGTCAACTCCCAGAATTAATGACTGTTCTATTGAATCATATAATTCTCCCTTTGTATTTCTGACAAACAGATGATAGTATTCCTATTAAATGCTATCATATTACCAAATATGTCACATTAACTTTCTAGCATCCAAATGTGCAAGTTTAATGCATGATATACTTATTGAATGTTTTCAGTCTAGAGAATCTACAGAACGTTGTCTGTCACAGCTTTGATATATGGTGATTGCTCCAACATCAGCAAATAGTCTTTAAAGACTTTAATTTGAATTATAGATTTTAGCAAGGTTGTCCATGTAATGCATGGTACGCTGAATTTAGTTTATTTATTGATTAATTCTGTTAAACAACCAACTACCAAAATAATAGTTCAGATTATTAAAAAAAAAAAAAAATTAAATTGATTTGTTATTTTTGAGAATTGGATAATAGAGTTTTATTATTGTTTTTAAGGCGATACTTTTTTTTAACTTTGTTTTTAAACTTATTTTTTTAAAGATTGTCAGAGGAGGATGAGAAAAAAAATTAAATTTAAATTTTGTTTTCTTATTTAGCAAATAGTTTTGCTAAGAACATATAGATGAAGAAGGGAAATAAAATTAAAATTTTATTGGTGTGTGTAAACAGTGTAGTAATGGGATGGTTAAATGCTTTAAATTTATATAATTAGGAAGAAATATATCTTATTTTCTTTGAAATTTCAAGGCAGCGGTGGGCGTAATAAAATAAAGAAAAACTTTTATTTTTTAAAATTTTCAATTTTTTGTGCATAAAAATAAAATTTTATTTTATTCAAAATCATCAGTATTTGTAGGCGGCGAGTTTACTAAACAAGGTGTAAAAAAAGTCTTTTAGATCGTCAGAGGAGGAAATCATCTCAGTTGATATAATAATTGTTTTGGTTTCTCTTAACTGTTAGGTTACACTATACAGTGTAACTATACTATTGAATTTCCTTCTTTTATATATTGCAGTGTATAAACAAAGATTTTCTATAAAATTAAGTTTGAATTGAATTGAATAAGAACATATGGGACTTGCCAAAACCAACATTTATATTTTCCACATTATAAGCTTTAAATTGAACGATCATATACTGGCATCGGCTTACTATTGCCAAAGTTATAAGTAAAAGTATTACAGCTTACTATTAAGTATTCAATACTGACACCTTCTCAAGCTGATTACTCCGTTTAATATTTAGTGACAGTACGCTGGTTTTGGGATGGCAAGCCTTATATGACAATTCTTTAAGTCATTGAATCAAAATTTTGATTTTTTAATTCAAAATGGTAAGCAATTCCATATTTATCGGGTAACCAGAGTTCCCCCGCACAAACGACTAGGCTGCATTGCTCTCTTAAGGCCAGTTTAGATAGTATTGTGTGATGCTGCCCGGCGCGATTTATAGTCGACTCATGCCTGTGTGAGTAAAATGCAGACGCGGTAATCATGTCATAGATTATTGATCATGTTAAATATTTCTGTAATATTCTCATAACGACCAGAAAGAATATCGTGAGTAGAGTGTATAAACAAAATAGGATAGCGGAAATTAAACGAACTGCATGGAATGAAAAAAGATAATTTTTAAGTGTTTGTGAGCACTACAGATTTAGTGGCATATGTAGGGGAGGGTGTGGAATTCTCAAGCAGAAAAAAAAATCATATCAACCTCATATCACCTATTTGCAAGCTAGCGCCCCCAATTACTTAATCATCGAGCCCTCATCCCCCCCCCCCACTTCAACTTAAATAATGGTTAGCCCATAGAGCTATTAAACAACTAGAGTGCTGACAAGATGGCGCAGCAATGCAGAGTTATGTATGTGTACCATCCAAGATGGCCGTCGTATTAAAGCGCCACCTTCAGGCTTAGTGTACATATTATTACATATTAATAAGCCCTCTGACTGACTATTATTTCATTAATGATAATGAGTAATGGTAATAACAAATTATTAAACTATTGAAGCCAAAATGAGGCCAAGTGGAGCATCTTATTCAAAAATAAAGTACCAAGGAATGAAAATTAAAATAGTGTACATTACACCCAAACACCGCAACGCTCGAGTTTCAAACATACGGGTAACTAACTGTACTGAACTTTCTGAGTAAATTGAGGGCGCAATTGCAAACGATGGTGCTTAGCGAAATTTGATTGGCTAAATCTATTGCAGCCATCTTGGATGGTACACACACACAGTTCTGCGTATTTCGAACATCGAATACATTGGGGTTAGCGCTCTAGCATTCTTATTATATCTCTATGGGTTAGCCTTACAAAACACATGTCACTTTACAAATTTTGTCTTGCACTGTCTGGCAGTATGGCATACCAACAAGGGGAGTAGTTGAAAGTGTTGAAAGTGATGCATGGTACAGTAGATGGATAAAACGTGTATGGAAATCATGTAAAACTAATTTTATTTATATATGTATTTTATTTATGTAAATTGTTTTTGTGTTTATATGTTGTTTATGCATCAAGGACCATCATTTCAAGTGAACTATATAATATATAATTTACATCATTGATGAATAAACTGTTGTGTATCTTGTTTGTCTGTTCATCTGTCATGTTCTAAGTTGCATGCAGTTTGCCAGTACATATCTGTCTGCTGGTCTAACGTTCTATCTGTATATTTGTTGATACTTTGTTATTTATTTCTATTGTTTTGTTGGATTTTGTAAAAAAGACAGTAAATATGAATATAAACATTTTTAAAATTTGAAAGAGTCTTTTTATAATAGGTTTTTTTTTTCTCTCTCCTTCCAGTTATGTGCACGCTTGGCTTTGTTAAGGGTCTGTGTAACAAAAGAAAAATTTAATTAAATGCAAGTTACAACATTATGCATTATCCTACAATGAAAAAACAATGTCAAGAAACACTTAAAGACAATGTCAAAGGAAACAGTGGAAGCAAACCATAATAAATTTGACAAAACCATGAGAATCCTTGTTGAGAAAACATCTCACAGAACACACTGTTAAGTGTGACATCTAGGTATTCTTGTGGGGAATAAACCCACGAACTCTAGGTTCTTAGGCCCCAAAACCGCATTGGTTCCTGAATTCTAAGGGTTGTTGAATTCCCGACTGATCACAGAGAAATTTTAAACAGACTCAAAAACCGAAGTATTTATCAACAATCAAAATGTGATGAAAGACGTTTGAATTTCTTTACAAATTAGATACATATGTTTACTCAGATATACACTCTTTAATAAATACACATGTTTTATAAGTAACTTTTAAAGTTGGTTAGTTTCAAAGTCGTATGTTGTTGTCTTCCATTATATTATTATATTTCTCAATCCGGAAATGTAATGAGGAAAAAATGCAGTGAAATATGTTTTGAATAATTCTGTTTTTCTCAACTTATCCAGATCATGGCGAATTGTCTCATCAGAAATTAGACACAAGGATAATCCTTGGCCTGTGTACCGCTATGAAAAAAAATCTTTGTCACTGGCAGCTACTGCAGAGAAATGTGAGTGATGTAATTATTTTGCTAATTATTAGTTTTGAAATTCAATTGCATAGCTACAGTTTTTGATGTTTTCAGTTGGACAAATGTTATAATTTGATTTATTATTTTTATATAGAGAGAAACTAAACTAAGTGCTTAGATTCAAATAATTCAATCACTTGGTTTCTTATCAAAAATAGTGTTAAAATGCATACAAAAATAATAATATATAAAGAAGAATATGTTAAAGGTTATTCTTATAGGTAATTTAGAAACAACAGTGTCACTCGAATAAAACAAATATGACAGAAAGCCAAACAGAACCACAAATTAGAGTGTCAGATTTAATCTTGTAGTTTTTAGCCATATTAATAGTGAGTACAGTAATGATGAAAATATACAAAACTAGACTTAATGTCTGTTTGTAAAAAAGAACTAGGGCTTTCCTCCTTGCCATAATGAGAACTAATGTTGGAATCATGAAGTTAAAAAAAAAATCATCAAAGAAAAAAAAAATCAACATGCGAATCAACTCGGGACTAGGGCTGCAATAGTATTAGCAAGGGTGATGTGGGGAATTCTAATCATTACGCTAAAGAAACCAACCCTGTGAAGGTCTACGTACATATACACATATCAGCTACCATCGGAACTTGATTCATTTTAGTGCATCTGGACATCAGCATGCATTAGCGTCTTCTTTTGTAGGCAAGTCCTTATTAGTTGGTTTTCGTCAATGAAATTACAAAATGTATTCTTTACACATATTCTAACGTTTAATTGATGTCTACCTTTTCTTTTCTGCTTGTCATTTTCAAACAAAATCTACCTTGCAAATTGTTTTACATTTCACAGTAATTTTGTATTTAACCAAGCTGTAGCTAGTTTGAAACTCTTCCGAACATGCAAATTGCATTCAGATGAAAGTTTATTTAGAATGACGTAATTTTTTATTAAGCACTTCTTTGGTAATATAATTTTCGCTTGGACCCTAGAAATCAATTCAACCTCCATCTTCATAATATATTTCTCTTTTTTCAGCCCCTTGGGTCTACTCATAAAGGTTCCTATAAATATCTTCATTATAATCATATAATAATTATTGTTTTTAATAAAGATGTAAATATTTCCTAGTGGCCATTTTTCTTGTTTAATGAATGAATGAATGAAAGTGCTGCTTTCACAGCAATTATTTGTCCAACATAAAGAATTCTATCAGAACTTTTGCCTTTTGTACACTACAAATATTCAATACAACATATAAACAAAAGAAAAGACTGGTTCAGAGAAATAGATAAAAACATTAAAAAGACATCAGTGCTAGTAGAATTACTGTACAATTATAATTTATAAATTACAACAGAACATTTTTTAATTTTTATTAATAATTTTTAAAAACTTATTTTTTAATGATTCATAAAAATACAAATTGATTTAAGGTAAGAACAACAAAATATTAAAGTACAAAAATGTGAGTATATAATTATAGAAATGCACTAAATTATAATAATTTTTAAATTAATTTTTGTATTTTATTTATTTATTTTTTTTAATTTTTTTTTTTATTGATATTTTTCATACTTTATAAAAATATACATTAAATGAATAAGGTAAGAACAAAAAAAAATGATTAAAACACAAAAATGTGAGTATATATAATTATAGAAATGCACTAAAATTCTAATATTCAGTACCATGAATAATGTGTAGGTCCAATCTAATAATTCTCTATTCAGTGATGTATTTACAGTAATGTTCCAGTATTGTAAAAGAAAATGATCATTGTCATTTGAAAACATGAATAACATCACAAAGATATTCATTTTCTTTTCCCTTTTGTTCCTCTGACCTTTTGCTCCCTTCAACCTTCTTTATTCCCACTCGTTTCAAAGGCAATATTATTTATTATCACCCAGAATTGCAATATTACAGAAAATGCCATAAGTAAATTTTAATGTAAGGTTGAACCAATGTATGAGTGATACTTGATCTGACATTATTTATCCAGGGGTGGATTTTGGTGAAGGAGGTGCCAGACACAACCCCCACTTTTGGAAAGTTTAAAAAAAAATAAATAAATAAAAAATAAATAAAAAGTATTTAAAGAATACAATTCAATAAATATAATATACCGTAAGTTTGAAAGGTATTTGAAGAATAAAAAAAAATTGTTCATGGATTTTGGAGCTCTATATAGTGCACATACTGTATTTTCAGCAGTTATTTATCACAAAGTAATTATTTAAGCAGCCTCCCTTTATTATTATTTAGTGGCTAGATTTTATTCGTGTCATATACAACAAGGTAGAGTTACATCACACCTACTTGAAATTTGTTGTCAAGTGAAAAAAAAAAAGAATTTTGGGATCTAATAACAATTTGAATTAATTTATCATTCTCTACTACGGCCATTTAACAACTGTGTGCATTCAATCATTTATTATTATATTTAGCCTTTAAAAAAAAATCATAATACAACTGATACATACAGTAAAATAAAACAAAATATAACCCAAACTGAAGTGCCATTATGGCTACCGGAAGGAAGGTATTTACTACTTTGTTTTCATAGATTAATGTTTTCCTAGGAAAAAGCCCAGGTGTGGTTTGAATGGTTTAACTATGCTGACTTTCTCAGGAAATCAAAGATGCTTTTGAATTGGACATGTATAACATACAAATTTGCTTTTTGACTGTCCACTGTAATGTTGAAAACATTTTTCCCTATAACTAGGGTTATGCAGCCATAGGTGACTGCCTCCCAATAGGTACTGTTACTTCAATGAAAGGTGTGGCATAATGCATTTTATTTTTGTAAAATTCTATTGTATTTTATTGTTGTAACACCTTTAAATCAATATAAATTAATGCAGTGCAAATATATATAGTGTAACATATGCCATTTGTTTTAGGTATTTATTTTGATAGAAGATAGAATAAGCAGAGAAATTACATGATGAATCTGATGGATCGAGTATTATATTTGAAGTTTTTAGCTTCGATGCGAGGCTCTAGAAACACTTGGCTGATTGATTAATCTGATTGCTTAATAGATCTTTTTTGTATGGGTGGCCATTAAGGCCTCTATTATACTGCCCACATCAGAGCTTTCGAGATAGCGAGAACTTAAAATCCTAAAAACATTGATTGTAATCAAGTGCTACACAAAAAAAAGATTTAATAATTTGATGTTATTTTTTTTTATACCATTTATTGCTAAATGTGTTCATCTTTAGTTGATCTGAGACATCTTGATGTTAAGAATTCCTTGTAATTAGAATTCTCTTCCTCTACATACAAATTATTTTGTTTTCAATAACAAATATTATATTTATGTTATTAATTCTGGTTTATTAATTACAAGCAGTTTTCAATCTAAATATAATGAGTGAAATTGAAATTGTGAAGTATGCAGTACATTAATTATTATTTTCTTAATTTCTTTTATATCTTCATTGCTGCAGTCATAATTACAGTATTTATCTATCTGGTTAAACAAACATATCTTACTTGCATTTTAATAGTTTTTTTTAAGTTGTTTTAATTATTTTATTGCATATATGTGTTTAGTAGCTGGGAATTATTCTTCCTTCCAGTTAACATTTATTATAAGTTCAGTATGAGACTTGACTAAAGAGGGAGGTATTTACTTTTCCTCTAATACTTTTATACAGAAGTATTATTCATTAATACTGTACAAGTTGTAAGTATATTAGGTAAGGACTTGCAGTATTTGATATGCTAAACAGTGGTTGATTTAAAGAGTGCCGATGTCAGATTAAGTTACCATGGAAACAGGGTGTCTGATTTGATTGTTAAGTTGTCTTGAACATCATGTGTGACAGGCCATCACATATCACCATGGTAATTAAACCTGATCACCCGTTTCCTCCAATTGTTTGTAACCGTGGTGACTAGAGGGTTGATCAATTTGAAAATGTCTATGTAGTTACTGTCCTACGTTTACTAGCCTCAACATGTTTTTTCCCCCCTTCCCTAAAGCTTTTCCGGGACAAAGGACTTCAGAGGAATTTGCTGACGCATTTTAAAAAGCTGCAGATATCTCGCAAACATATCCATAATTGTCAAGTTACCTCTCTGGTATCAATTTTACGAAGGACTCCTCAGAGGAAAGCGTACCTCTAATCATAGATTACTTAGGAATGCTAATTTATATGACCTAGAAAAATGTGCAGAAATTCCGCAAGTTTAATAATCAAATATTCGGCGATCTAATTCCCAAGCCCCTTCGCAATTTCGTACTCACTCCCTTATAGGCTTGTTGGAATTAATGAGAAGGGGAAACCGTCGTGAACTAGTTTAAAGGACATCTGTTTCTCAACAGACATATATGTCGAATACCTACCATTTTCATAGATCAAATTTCCTTGTTGGTCATTTGGGACATACTGACATTTTTTTCCTAGAATCAAGTTAATATGAAGGGGGTAATGCCTCCGCTAACTTGTCATCTTATGACTTCACTCTATGTTACTTTGAATTCTTAAGTTTTCCCCCAGTTGATTTACTTATTGACTAAGCAATGTTATGCGGTTACTGCCTTCCCCTAGGCGAATTTTGGAAAATTAAAATTTTGTCAAAAGAAAAGTCTAAAGAGTGTAAAATATTGTAAGTTAAAATGACAGGAGATGGTGAAACCTGTAAGTGTTTGGAATGCCTTTGACTTGTTAAACATGGATTTTAGATTAGTAATATAAATAAAAGTCATGTTAAATTATTGATTGTTATTTTAATATATATATATCTGTCTCTTATACACATCTAGATGTGTATAAGAGACAGCATTTAAACTGCCCTGTGATTCAATGGCCTATCCAAAACTAGGCCTATAATATTCCGGTGGGAAACTCATATCAGACATTACTCAAGCATCAAAGGGAAGGGATCACCCTAATTTATAGTAGTCATATGCACCAGCCTTTACCTAAACTTTTTTTCTTGATGTTGTAGGTTAGTTTTTGCCCAACAACAACAACCAATCCAACCAAACACACCCATCA